GGCCCGGCCCCGGCGCAGGGCCTTCGGCGCGTCGGTGGGGCTGGGGGCCTCTTTAGCTGGTGGGGAGATTATTACCATCTGTCCGCAGGTGGTCCGGGGGGGGGGGGGATCCAATAGAGGAGGAGAATGGACTCAACCTAGGTGTCTATTGTCTTATGTAGTCTGGGAGTTGACGGAGTGGTGGGGTGGGTGTAGTTTTTCCTCTGTGGTGGGGTCCGGTTGGCCGCCCCGGGCTCTATGGTGCCCGGGGGTGCCGCTGCTCTGGGCCCCGGTCTGGATAGGCCTTGGCCCCCCGCCCTGGGTGGATTTTGGGGAACGGGGGTGCTTATGGGGGTCAACGGGGGAGCTGGCTCCTTTCCTTTCCTCCCCATCCCTAAATGCTTCCCTCCTCCCACTCTATCACACCACCACACATGTAGGGCTTTGAGGTGCAGGTGCGTCGCTGGGATGCAGGGGAGGTATTCCTCCTCTGTCCCCTCGTGACCACCTGTGTCTCAATCATACATCACAACTTAGACACTCTCATTACTTACTCTCTCATGACACATACATTTAGGGCCTTGGGGGTGGGCACACAAAATGGCATCCGGAGGGCAGTCTGTTTACTCAGCCTTACCTCTGGTGCCAGTGCCCACTTCTCAATTTTAAGTCGCAAATAGACATTGAGGGTTCTGGGGAGGGGCCGAGCTGACACCAGCTGTTGATTGGCAGAGGGTGGTTAGCGCCATGCCCTTCCCCTGTTTTAAAGCACTTTAGAACAACACACACCAACACCACATGGACATGGAAGCAGATTATCTGTTTTTTTCTTTTTTCTTTCTCCTCTCCCTCTCTCTCTATCCCCCGTCTTCTCCTTTTTTCCCCCCTCTCGCTCCCTCTCCTCTTGAGGAAGTAAGTAAATAAGTAAATAGAAAGAAAGCAGTGCTCCGCAGAGGGGTGGTGGTGGAGGGAATTTATAAAAAAAAAAAAGAAAGGTTAAACACTTAATTTGAAATATGACTATAATGCAAGGATAAATAGTCTCTTTAGGGGTCCCAATAAATCTGTCCATACTATTTTAGCATATCTATGTAAAATAAACAACAAATCATTTCTTTTCACAATGTTATTGGTTTACTGTATCACATACTAAAGGCATGCAGGTATACATTAGACAATTTTAATTGAATCTCTTTTCAGGAGAAATGAAGCATTGTTTCAATGAGCTGTAAGGGTACCAACAAATTCGTAGACATCTGTATATTCCCTATCTTTCTTGGTCCAGGTTCAGCCCAACTGGCAGTGTGGTGCTGACATTTGAGCGGCAGAGAGCCAAAAGTGAATCTTCAGTAAGAGCAGATGAGCAGAGGCAGCCCACTTCACAGGTATGTGCCGAGCCTATAAACCTCAGACAGCTGAATGTTTAATCCACTTGTGTGAAGGTGTCTTCTGAAGTTGTTAGTACCTTTTAATTATTCTTGGGTGTATTCACATTTGGCCTGGTTGCCTCGTACCGTGCCTGAGTACGATTGCAATTTTTAGTTATTTGTGACAATCAAGTACAGTGGCAATCAAAATTAGAGAACAAGAGACATTTTGTAATATACAAAGTCACAGCTTATCCGAATTCAAAGTTCTATCATGAATAGAAGAATGTACATCCATTCAACACAATGTATACAAAATATGTACAAAATTGCGTTATGAAAAATTATGACCCATACAGATTGGGTAGCAACAAACATTTCACAAACATGGCAGAAAAGGATCACTATGGTGATCAGTCAAATATTTGGTAAAATGTGCAGCAGAAATAGAAATTGCTGTGTTGCATAATTGATAAATCTATGAGTGTCATCGTGCCTAGAAAGACTCCAAATAAACCTCAAAATAAGGACATTATTCATTAATTCCATTCTGATGTGTGATAGTGCTTGGATCAGGATCATTAATGCAAAGTGAGCGCAGACCAGCTTGGGGGGGGGGGGGGCGGATGGCAATCATGCTTGGGCATGGTATGAGGCAACCAGGCCAAGTGTGAGCATGCCCTAGGTACGTACCATGCCTGAGTCCGACTAACCGTGCTCTGGCCCACTTTATCAAGTGGGCCAGGGCACAGTTAACCGTACCATGCCAGAGCAGTCACACTAGTCAAATGAATTGGACTTTGGGGGTCAAAGGCACTCAGCCATGGTGTGGATTGGCTAGTGTGAGTACACCCTTAATGTGGCCTTGCCAGCAGGTTTGAATAGTTAAGTGTTTACGAGCTGGCCTGTGTTTGCCAGGGGGAGGAGCAGGCCATGTTTGACATGGGAGGCTACGAGGAGTATTTGCGGGAACAAGTAGGAGATCGCTGGTTCCGATACAATCCACGCCTCACTTGTATCTATTGCTGCAAGTCATTCAATCAGAAGGGTAGCTTGGACAGGCACATGAGGCTGCATATGGGCATCACTCCGTTCGCCTGCCGCATCTGTGGCAAGAAGTACACGCGCAAGGACCAGCTGGAGTACCATATCCGCAAGCACACAGGCAACAAGCCTTTCCACTGCCACGTCTGTGGGAAGAGCTTCCCCTTCCAGGCCATCCTAAACCAGCATTTTCGAAAAAACCATCCTGGTTGCGCCCCCCAGGAGGTCTCCCACAGCACTTCCCCTGAAACCACTACCGTCACCTCACGGGGTGGGCCAAATGAAGATGAGTCACCCATTCAGGAGGAAGCCAGGGGGACCAGCGTTACTGAGGGCAGCTCCTTTGGTGAGGCCGTTCAACCTTCGGTGTCCACCACTGGTCCAGACTGATGGGGAAAGTCAGCAAGGAACAGTTCCCACAACAGTGCGGTTCTGTTTGTGGTCACACTACAAATAGCAGCTCTCCTGTCAAGGACGTCTGATGTTTGGGGGGAGGGGGGGAGGGCAGATTAGAAGATCAACAGAGAAGTTAGCTTGATGTGTTTAAAGGAATACTTTGGTTTCCATGAATTAAGGAAACAGGCCCTTTTTGAAAGGAGAGAATTTTCAAGATGTAGACTTTGGCATGTGACATATTTTTTATACTTGGTCATCAAGATCTTATCAAAAAAGAACTTTAACAGAAACCATTTTTTACAGTACCTATATTTATACATTTATATTTCAAAACCACATCTACCTTCAATGCAAACAAAACCATACTCTGATAAAGCTATCAACTGAAGAAGCACTTCTGTAACCTCAAACTTTTTTGAAAATAATATTTGTTTGCCTTCCTCTGTCTTGTACTTAAGTTATCAATTTTAGTCCTGAATTTTATTGTCTCATTGGGATCGATAATGTAGCAAAATAAGGTAGTGGTGTGTCTAGCTTAAGAGCTACGCATTTTTGAAACATTGCCTGAACCTCCAGTGCCATGTAAAATGAGAAAAAGCAAAATTTTACAGACAAAAATTGAGTTTTTCCCACAGTTTATGCCTCTAGACAATCGTTGTGTTCAATAGCACAGGGTAAAAAGAAAAAAAAAAACAACTACTTTTTTGATTGTGAAGCAGATCATTTATCATTGCCACATGAGACAAGCTTTTGTGTGTTCTGAGTACGTTATATTTTAATATGTAATTTAGGTCATTTTTATGCTTACGTTTAGACCTGCAGTATGCACTGTTCAGGATAAGAGGGGCTGAAAGACTAATATGAACTAATATGTGCAGAACTACATTGTTGCAGGTTGCATGCCGAGAAAAATCTAATTGATACAACTTTTTTGCATTTAAGTGATACATACAAATAATGGCATTTCAAGATTTTAGTAGGTGATCTTGATCTATATTTATGTTGCTATATGAACTCATTTGTGGTTCTAATATGGTGAAACTAGCTGCTGTTTTGTTGTTCAATTTTTGATACTATAAAACAAAAAAAATTAATTTCAGCTGCAGATAAGCTAATGGACAGTAAAATCTCTGGGATCAGTTACCTCTCACACAGATATACACAAATGCAATAACGGCTAACAGCTGGTTGGTGCATGCACTTTGCAGAATTGTGAAACTTAGATTAATTTTTTTTTCTAAATGCCATCTTTTTTTTGGGTGTTAGTGTGATTGCTTTAAAAGACCAACCATTATTTCCTCAACCATATTGTTGTCTTTGTGCAGTTGACTTCTAGGTAACTGAGCTGAAGACTAGACATTTCTGAAAGAATGTCATTTTGAGAGGCATCCAGAGGAGGAGGAAAAATAAGGAACCAAAATGGAAAAAATAATGGTTATAGTGATGAACTATAGATGAGCTTATTGTAGTTTGGGAGTAGTGAGTGGGAAGTGCAGAGTTTTATGTTCTCTGTCTGTGATTGTTTGGATTATGTCATAAGGAATTCACCTCTGGTCATTCCACAGTGAGAAGGAGTATCAATGATTTTCCTCAACTCCTAAGCCAAAATAAAATATTTGTCTAGAAGAAAGCTACCGATTATAATAGAATTCCTGCACATTTATTGTAAATGTTAAAAGAAATGTTTATTTGTACAAGAAAGACTAAAAAATATGTAGCAGAGTAGCTGGACAGATCTGGTACCTTGTGTTTTTTTGTGCCTGTGAATTATGTTTTTCCACATGGTCAAGAGTGCCAATTTACAGCTGCCAGTTCGTCTATAAACTTTTCTATTTTGTTATCTTGTACTTTTAAAGATACTACAGACTTCACATGATGAAAGGTCCTGAACAGGAGTAGACATACATTCACTAACAATATTGTATATCAGTGCAAATATCAGGTATTTTAAAATTATTTTTCTATTTTATATTTTTCAGTTATATAATAGACTAGGCTTTGGAAATGGCATTCTGTAGGGACAGAATCTTGCTGCATGTGCTAAATAGTTGTAAAGATAAGGTTACACTTTAAACTATTTTCAGGAATGTGAATATATAGTCTTGTAATATATTGATGCAGTAATAGATATAATGGTAAGTTGTAAAAGGTCTCCACATAATCATGTGGTAATATTCCAAATCAACGTCACTTTAATCCCTGAAAGATTTTAGTATAGCATTATATATATATATATATATATATGTGTGTGTGTGTGTGTGTGTGTGTGTGTGTGTGTGTGTGTATACACACACACACAGACATACATATATACATACAGTGGAGGAAATAATTATTTGACCCCTCGCTGATTTTGTAAGTTTGTCCAATGACAAGGAAATGAAAAGTCTCAGAACAGTATCATTTCAATGGTAGGTTTATTTTAACAGTGACAGCACATCAAAAGGAAAATTGAAAAAATAACTTTAAATAAAAGATAGAAACTGATTTGCATTTCATTGAGTGAAATAAGTATTTGAACCCTCTAACAAAAAAGACTTAATACTTAGTGGCAAAACCCTTGTTTGCAAGCACAGAGGTCAAACGTTTCTTGTAATTGATGACCAAATTTGCGCACATTTTAGGAGGAATTTTGCTCCACTCCTCTTTGCAGATTATCTCTAAATCACTAAGGTTTCGAGGCTGTCTCTGTGCAACTTTGAGCTTCAGCTCCCTCCATAGGTTTTCTATTGGATTAAGGTCCGGAGACTGACTACTGTAGGCCACTCCATGACCTTAATGTGCTTCTTCTTGAGCCACTCCTTTGTTGCCTTTGCTGTATGTTTTGGGTCATTGTCATGCTGGAACACCCATCCACGACCCATTTTCAGTTTCCTGGCAGAGGGAAGGAGGTTGTCGCTCAGGATTTTACGATACATGGCTCCGTCCATTTTCCCGTTGATGCGGTGAAGTTGTCCTGTGCCCTTAGCAGAAAAACACCCCCAAAGCAAAATGTTTCCACCTCTATGCTTGACGGTGGGGATGGTGTTTTGGGGGTCATAGGCAGCATTTTTCTTCCTCCAAACACGGCGAGTTGAGTTAATGCCAAAGAGCTCAATTTTGGTCTCATCTGACCACAGCACCTTCTCCCAGTCACACTCTGAATCATTCAGGTGTTCATTGGCAAACTTCAGACGGGCCTGCACATGTGCCTTCTTGAGCAGGGGGATCTTGCGAGCACTGCAGGATTTTAATCCATTGCGGCGTAATGTGTTTCCAATGGTTTTCTTGGTGACTGTGGTCCCAGCTACTTTGAGCTCATTAACTAACTCCTCCCGTGTAGTTCTAGGATGATTTCTCACCTTTCTCAGAATCATTGACACCCCATGAGGTGAGATCTTGCGTGGAGCCCCAGACCGAGGTCGATTGATGGTCATTTTGTGCTCCTTCCATTTTTGAACAATTGCACCAACAGTTGTCACCTTCTCTCCCAGCTTCTTGCTAATGGTTTTGTAGTCCATTCCAGCCTTATGCAGGTCTACAATTTTGTCTCTGACATCCTTGGACAGCTCTTTGGTCTTTCCCATGTTGGAGAGTTTGGAGTCTGCTTGATTGATTTATTCTGAGAAGAGGTGACTAGTTAAGACAGGTGTCTTTAATGAGGGTGACTAATTGAGTAGGAGTGTCTAACCACTCTGTGGGAGCCAGAACTCTTAATGGTTGGTAGGGGTTCAAATACTTATTTCACTGAATGAAATGCAAATCACTTTCTATCTTTTATTTAGAGTTATTTTTTCAATCTTCCTTTTGATGTGCTGTCACTGTTAAAATAAATCTACCATTGAAATGATACCATTCTGAGACTTTTCATTTCTTTGTCATTGGACAAACTTACAAAATCAGCGAGGAGTCAAATAATTATTTCCTCCACTGTATATATATAGTATGTGATGCATACTTGATAGATTCATCAAGTATGCAACACAGCAACATATTATATGGACATCCACCGGCAAATTAATAATGGTTAATGGTCTCTTCTACAAGAAGCCTATCACTTGTGACAGGGAGCATTCTAGCAGTAACACGTTCACTTTGACAGCTGCACTTGTTAAATGTCTTAAACAATCTAAAGGTGCAGTGACTAATAATAGTTTTTGATAAGTGTATTTACAGAATACTCTTTATTTATAGATATATATATATATATATATAAGTGCTGTCAAACGATTAAATTTTTAAATCAGATTAATCACAGGGTTGTTGTGGATTAATTTCGATTAATCACGATTAAATATCATTCATTTTTAATCTATATTAATCACATTTCATTTTGCATGAGCAAACAGATTCAGGAAAAAAGGGAATATATATGCACTTAACATGTTTATTGAACATCTTGAACACGAGTCGGATGCATTACATCTGCCACAGAAGTGCAATACCATGGACCCATATCAAAAAGCAAGATTTTTTGCTTATCCGGACAACTTGTCGTATTTAAGGTACCTCAGTTTAAATGGTCTTTATCTTAGTTCACTTACAATTAGCCCGAACTACTGTAAATCTGACAAATAATCCGACTAATCATGAAATCCAATTCTAGCCCGGTTAATTGCCATTGTTAGCAATATCACTTGATAACACATTACGCGCGGTGCTTTACGTATAAAACTCCGTAGCAACACGTCCACAGATAAGTTG